TTCTATATTTCCATAAGATGCGTGCGTTTTTGATTTAAGAGCTAGTTTTAAGTATAATATAAGATAGATTTAAGATTTAATATGATGATTTAGATTTTATTGTAATAATTTATGTAATTTTATTGTAATATTTTTATTGTAATTTACTATATATCCATAAGATGCGTATGTTTTAGATTTAAGAGATAGTTTTAAATATAATATAAGATAGGTTTAAGATTTAATATTAAGATTTAGATATTATTGTAATTTTTTGTAATATTTTATGTAATTTTATTGTAATATTTTTATTGTAATTTACTATATATCCATAAGATACGTGCGTTTTAGATTTAAGTTCTACTTTTAAGTGAAATATAAGGTAGATTTAAGATTTAGTATTAAGACTTAGATTTCAATTTTTTTTATAATTATAATTTATTATACTCGATGTAAATGATAAGATGTATGCATCTTAGATTTAGGTTCTAGCTTTAATTATAAAATAAGATGGATTTATGATTTAGAATTAAGATTTAGATTTTAATATTTTTATTGTAATTTACTATATATCGATAAGATGTGTGCGTTTTAGTTTTTAGCATAATGTAAGATAGATGTAAAATTTAGTATTAAGGTATATATTAAGCTAATCTAAATTTTCATCGATGGACGACGTTGGTCGACGTTGGACGACGTTGGACGACGTTGGACGATGATGGATATAATTTTATCTACATTTATATATTTATACATATTTTTTTAATTTCCATATGATTTTTGTATTTTTTTAATTTATTTACTAATTGTATCATATTGATTTTCTACGTTTAAGATTTAATTTGTAGACAATTAATTGTATCACTTTAATGTATTAATCATTTTAATAAATATATTTAAACCGATGGGTCTCGATGCGTAGTCACCTCCTCGTGGATGAGACCCGGTAATTGGCATTGTTTTTCATATTTTTAATATAAGAAAATATTTTACTCATTACATTAGAAATTTTTCGAAATATTTTAAATTATATTTTAAGTATAGTTATCGAAAAGCGATGCCAAGCCAAGAACTACGCACACTTTCAGTCTAGTCTAAAATATGATTGCCTTAGATTATTTTGATTAATTATCAATAGACTAGACTGAAGGTACTAATAAAATCTGAATAAAGATATTCTGGTTAATCATTTCAATCTTGTTTTTATATTTTTTTAATTTTTAATAAATTTTTAGTACCCTTACCTTTTTTCTCCATTTTTAAATAAGACCATAATATCTTTGATGAAGATATTAGTTATAGTACATTCGATGTAAATGACAAGATGCGCGCATTTTAGATTTAAGTATAATATAAGATAGATTTAAGATTTAGTATTAAGACTTAGATTCTAAATTTTTAATTATAATTTATTATACTCGATGTAAATGATAAGATGCATACATCTTAGATTTAGGTCCTCAAATATAATGTTCAGATAGGTTTAAGATTTAGTATTTAATAGGTTTAGATTTAGATTTAATTTTAGATTTAGATTTAGATTTAATAAGATTTAGATTTAGATTTAAATTTTAATATTTTCATTGTAATTTACTATATTTCGATAACATGCGTGCGTTTTAGACGTAAATCCTATTTTTAAATATATTATAAGATAGATTTAATATTTAGTATTAAGATTTAGAATAAGTTAATTTAAGACTTCATCGATGAACGTCAATGGACGACATTGAACTACGTTGGACGACGTTGGATAATCAACATAGATTTTAATATCCTTATTATTATTTCTTATATTCGATATAAATCATAAGATGCGTGCGTTTTAGATTTAAGTATAGAGATAAGATTTAGTATTAAGATCTATATTAAGCTAATCTAAATTTTCATCGATGGACATCAATGGACGATGTTGAACTACATTGGACAACGTTGGATCACGATAATCAATATAGATTCTAATTTCTTTATTATAATTTTTCATATTCGATGTAGATCATAAAATGCGTGCGTTTTAGATTTAAGAGCTAGTTTTAAGTATATTGTAAGATAAATTTAAGATTTAATATGATGATTTAGACTTTATTGTAATTTATTGTAATATTTTATGTAATTTTATTGTAATATTTTTATTGTAATTTACTATTAACTAATATTTTCATAAGATGCGTGCGTTTTAGATTTTAGAGATAGTTTTAAATATGATATAAGATAGGGTTAAGATTTAATATTAAGGTTCAGATTTTATTGTAATTTATTGTAATATTTTATGTAATTTAATTGTAATATTTTTATTGTAATTTACTATATTTCCATAAGATGCGTGCATTTTAGATTTAAGAGATAGTTTTAAATATAATATAAGATAGGTTTAAGATTTAGTATTAAGATTTAGATTTTATTGTAATTTATTGTAATATTTTGTTTAATTTTACTGTAATATTTTTATTGTAATTTAGTATATTTCCATAAGATGCGTGCGTTTTAGATTTAAGAGCTAGTTTTAAGTATAATATAAGATAGATTTAAGATTTAATATTAAGATTTAGATTTCATTGTAATTTATTGTAATATTTTGTATAACTTTATTGTAATATTTTTATTGTAATTTACTATATTTCCGTAAGAGGCGTGCGTTTTAGATTTAAGAGATAGTTTTAAATATAGTATAAGATAGATTTAAGATTTAGTATTTAGAATTAGATTTATTAAGATTTAGATTTTAACATTTTTATTGTAATTTACTATATTTCCACAAGATACGTGCGTTTTAAATTTAAGAGATAGTTTTAAATATAATATAAGATAGGGTTAAGATTTAATATTAAGATTCAGATTTTATTGTAATTTATTGTAATATTTTATGTAAATTAATTGTAATATTTTTATTGTAATTTACTATATTTCCATAAGATGCATGCGTTTCAGACGTAAATCTTATTTTTAAGTGTATTATAAGATAGATTTAAGATTTAGTATTAAAAATTAGATTTATTAAGATTTAGATTTTAACATTTTTATTGTAATTTACTATATTTCCACAAGATGCGTGCGTTTTAAATTTAAGTCCTAGTTTTAAATATAATATAAGGTAGCTTTAGATTTAATATGATGATTTAGATTTTATTGTAATTTATTGTAATAATTTATGTAATTTTATTGTAATATTTTTATTGTAATTTACTATATTTCGATAACATGCATGCGTTTCAGACGTAAATCTTATTTTTAAGTGTATTATAAGATAGATTTAAGATTTAGTATTAAAAATTAGATTGATTAAGATTTAGATTTTAATATTTTTATTGTAATTTACTATATTTCCATAAGATGCGTGCGTTT